CAGGATGCATGTGGGAGGCAACCAATCAATATCTCTCTCTCACATCGATGTTTCTCTCTCTGTCTCTTCCCCTTACTTCCACTCTCTCTAAATCTCAATGGTAAATATATCCTCGGGTGAGTATTAACAAAGATAAATAAATTATATATTCCTAATATAATTGTTGGTGCCAGAAGACACAATTCAAAGTGTCTCTCAGCTCAGTTACAGAGACTAATGTTCTCACACTAATTCCTTGGCTGTTTGTTCTTCTTTGCAGGGCAGATTGGAGCAGTTCTGTACTCTCTGCATCTGCTTAATAGCTTTCTTGCCTTGTTTGCAGCTTCCAGAGCTCCTCCCTTCTTCTGAACATTTTCTGTCGTCCTCACTCCTCTGTGCCTCCGAAAACAGCTCTTTGTTCCCCCACAAGAAGAATCTGCAGCCTCATCAGCTCTAAACCAACCTCCCACTGTGCTCTGGGCAAAGTCCTGCTCGGAAAGGGATGGAAAGAAAGGGATGGAGGCAGCCGGGAGGTGATGGTACCAGATGGGGACAGACAGGGTGAACAGTACACACAGTTTAGAACAGGGCAATGGGCCTGCAGGGACAGCCTGCCTGGCTGGGTGGCCTTGGGCCTATCTGGGTCCCATGACCTCACACAGTGTGAAAGCTGGACTGGAGGATTCTGAGTCCTTTCCAGCTCTGAACACCCCAAACCCTAATTATGACCCTAAACACCTACACAATGAACAAAATTGTACTGACACTTGTCTCTGGAGAGTGAAATATTGAGATCTTTTTTCTTTTTCTTCTGTATTTTGCAAATAGATTATACTAAGTTTGCACTACTGTGTTTGTGTTCACAAGACCAAATATCTAGGATTCTAGATCAGTGGTTCTCAACCTTCTGGCCCTTTAAATACAGTTCCTCATGTTGTGACCCAACCATAAAATTATTTTCGTTGCTACTTCATAACTGTAATGTTGCTACTGTTATGAATCGTAATGTAAATATCTGATATGCAGGATGGTCTTAGGCGACCCCTGTGAGAGGGTCGTTCGACCGCCAAGGGGTCGCGACCCACAGGTTGAGAACCGCTGTTCTAGATAAAAAATGGTAAAGTGGTATGTTTTCTTGAAGAGGGAAATGAAATAAAATTTAAAAAGAAAAGGCAGAGGAGAAAGGAAGGTCCAACTGGAGGCCCCAACTCCAACTGGAGCACAGAAGCTCTGCAAGGGCAGCGTTTGCTGGGGGGTTTCCTACCTCCAGGGCAAAAAGTCTTTGTAAACTCTCCTAGCGCCATCTGCTGGTCGATTTAGAATTAATCGCTTAATTTGGTTCGCAAAAGGGCTTTGAAGCGAATCTAGAGAATAGATGGTGGAGTCACGTTCAGGCTGAAGATCATCTTTTATTTACAGGCAAAACAGGCTCCATGCACACATCCGCAATTCACATTTTATTTCAAGTTGCAATAATGAGAATAACAGGGACACCTGAACAAGACCCTTTGTATAAGGAGTGGTAATAGCTACCTATGCACAGTCCCTTATGCAAGGAGTGACTGATTCCCTAGCTCCCCTCCCGGCTACACTGGGCATCATGTATAGACAGAGACACTCTGAAGAAACCTGCTCTCAGCGCCCTCCATCTTTAAACTGTGTTTGTTTCATTGCCATCTATCTCTCTCTGTTCCCTGGGTTGTCACAGGTCTTCAACTCATTGACGTTAGGACTAATTCAGTGGTTCAAGCTTCCCCCCGTGACCCCAACAGCCCAAAGTGCAGGCACGTCCTCTGATTTGGCCTTCCACCCACCATTAGTCCTGTTTCACCCGCTACCCAATGCCAGCCCAGCCCCTCACTCCCTGTGGGTTCTAGCTGAACACTCGCCCTCTTCCTGACCTGCCCCTTCCCACAAAGGGCACCCTTTTGCTCTGGCTGGTCTAGAGGTGCAGGACAGTATGCATATCCAGCAAGGCCTGTTGAGTCCATCCTCTGTTGTAGATACTGATGGGAAAGCATTTTCCTTCTAACGCTTTCCTTTCCATTCTAAAGGGCACCTCTAAAAATACCAGTCTTAAAAATAGCCACAACTGGACAGACGCATCCATCCATCTGTCCAGCTGCGACGTCCTCATGTAATGAGAAATATATGTTTCATCTTTGTCCTCAGTTTCTGGCACAAAGCTTCTACAATTGTCTAACTTCCTGAGTGGCGGGGGTGATAGGAAGGAGCAGCTTTTATAATAATACTTGGGGTTCGGAGAGCTTCCAGGTTGGTGAACTCCTCCACATGCTGAGAGGGTGATGCGCCCCAAACTCTTTGGGGCACCTGTATTTGGAATGCGTCCAGCCCTTGCCCTCTACACCTCTTCACCTGGCTGTTTATCTGTATCCTTTATAATAAACTGGCAATAGTACGTAAATAAATAAATACATAAATAAAATAAAAGGCAACTCTCAGGCAAGTTTTGCTGAACTTCATCAAGATCTTCCTGTGATGCGTATGAGTAGAAAGTGATGAGAAGCTCCATCCTTCTCAAGACAAAGGAGCTCCCGGGACTCCCGATTGGTCCTGCAGGGAGGGGAGGCTGCCATATTTGGAGAGAAGCAAAATGCCACTCCCTCTCCAGCTCCTACTTAGCTGGGCAGGCCTGGCTGCCAAGAGGGTGTGCTCCAGGACAGCGTGGCCACCGCTCCAGAGGCACGCTCCCAGAGACAGTCCAAGGTAGGTGCGGAGGCAGAGTGTGTGCAGGATTCCATTTCTCTGGTTGGGGTTGCTCATTTCTAATCAGACTGCAAACCACGCAATGATTACTTGACTCCCATCACCCAGGGGACACTTGTGAGAATGGTTAGTCACCCAGGTGCTGCATGTCTATGTTTCGGACAGACTGCAAACCACGCAATGATTACTTGACTCCCATCTCCTGGGATGGGTCCCAAGTCAGGGGACACTTGTGAGAATGGTTAGTCATCCAGGTGCTGCATGTCTATGTTTCGGTGCTATAATAAAAGGCTATTGTAGGGTTGGCTGGTTGGGATTTTCTCTTGCTTTTAAGCCCTTGCCTAGAAAGACTAATTTCTTTCTCAAGACCTCTATGCTTTTATTTAATTTGATGTGCCTGTAATTGATGTTATTATTCTTACTTAAGATTTCTCTTCCCAAGGAGTAAGGGCTATGACATGGGGTGTGGCCCCTGTTTGGGAGGTTAATGAGTGTTTGCTTGAAACTCTTTGGAGAAAGCTGCTCTGAGCTCACTGTGTTCAGGGGGCAATGAGGGGTGGGGTGCTGGGCCTGGGTGCATAGGCTGCTGTGGGCACATTCATGTCCACCCTGGGGCAGAAGCCAGGTGATCCCTGCATGTTAAGAAATGTTAGCAGAGGCCTCTTTGCAGATGCCCTGAGGTGGCTAGAAAAACACTTTGGGTTGATTTTCCCTATTTTTCTACATAAGGATCAGTGTCTCACTAGATTTGAATGTTTTAACAGACGTGTACTGTTAGGAATACTGCAAGGGGATGGTGGAGGGTGTGTTAGGAGCTAAGCAAGGTAACTTTCCAACCTCCTCCAGCTCTGGCACTTACGGACTTACAATAAGCCTTATCTAGGAGACAGCCTAAGCACGCTCCACTGTAATAACTTCCCGTGCCCCTGCTCCCCACGGACAAAGGTCCAGGTGCTGGAATGCCCTGGACCTTTGTCCGTGGTTGACCTTGGGAGGTGGATTTCCACAATAACTATTGTAGTTTCAGGAGCCAGATGCCACAGACTCTCGGATTGTGGGGCTGGAAGGGAGGGGCATTCCATGATGTCATCAGCAACCCTCCAGATACCCTAGGGTCACCTCAGCGCTCCCCTGGCCCTCCTCTCCTCCCCATCATCTCATTTCCTCTGAAATGCCCCCCAAGCTCCTTGCTCAGCTTAGAGCCCATTGGGCTGCTCTTCATGCCCAGTTAGTCAAAAGCACAATATCTGAGCACCAGCCCCTCCGGCAGCCCAGGAGGGCAGTGGGCATGGTGGGAACAGTGTCAGACAGAGCTGCATTCAAACCTGCCTCCCGCCACTGTGCGGCCATGGCAAATTACCTAATTTCTCTAGTTCTTGGTACAACTTTTATAAAATGGGGATCATATTATACCTTTCCCATGTGCAAAGTAAGTTAGACAATGTCAGAGGCTGACACACAGTAAGTGTGGAAGAAGCTAGCTGGGAGAGGCGGATGGGGTCACACTGTGCCCAGAGATGAAACATGAAAGGATTACTCCTGGCCATAGAGAGAGGCAGGGTCCCCATACATCTCATCTCTCTCTCCCCACACTCATCTCCTCGCTCTCTCTCATTACCTTAAAGGCCTTTGGGATCAGCAGCCAGTGACGTAGAATAGACGGCAGAAAGTGCCCAAGCCAGTGCCAGCTCAGAGCAATACAGAATAAAGAGGGACGATAAAAAACACAGCCTATATAAGAGTGTCAGCCATAAAATAATAACAACAACAACAACAACAACAACACAGCCTTTGCATTATGTAAGCTGCTCTGATTGGCAGGGTATAGATTCATTTTATGTGTTAACATTGGTTAACAAAGTGTGGGGTTTTTTTTTAATACAGTCTATGCCCAGAAGCCTCTGATTCCAGCTCTTCTACTGTCTGCCTCCCAGGGGCCCCCTGATTTGAAGAACTTGGCAGCACCAAAGACAACCTGTATGTATTAAGTCAGCACTCACTCGCTTTCCCATGCTCATTCAAAGGCTGTGTAATTGCCAGTTGCAGCTTCTTATCTGTCTGAGAAAGCCAGGGTCACCGCCTGAATGGATCTAGTTCCAGGCAGACGCAAAACACTTGGGACGGGCCTAACCCTGTGCAGCCCGAGCGTGGGAAAACAATTATGCTTCAGGCCAAATGTAGAGGCAAGGGTGTCACTCCTTGTTTAAAGTCTCCACGCGGGAGGGGGCAGGGGAGCCGGGAACCACGCTGGAGACCTGACCGCCTCATCCTTTGCTGTTGCAGATTCTGGCACCATGAGGAAGCAACTGGGTGGGTGCTGCCTGGCCATTGTCTGCGTCCTGCTCTTCAGCCAGCTCGCCGCAGTGCAGGCGAGAGGCATAAAGCACCGAATCAAGTGGAACCGCAAGGCGGCCGCCCCGCCCAGTAGCTCCCAGGTCACGGAGGCCCAGAGGGTGGAGATGCAGCTGCGCCCGGGGGCCTTCATCAAGCACGGCCGCAAGCTGGATATCGACTTCGGAGCCGAGGCCAACAGGTACTACGAGGCCAACTATTGGCAGTTCCCCGACGAGATCCACTACAACGGCTGCTCCGAGGCCAACGTGACCCGGGAGAAGTTCGTCAGCGGCTGCATCAACGCCACCCAGGCTGCGAACCAGGAGGAGCTGTCCCAGGAGAGACCCGACAACAGGCTTCACCGGCGCATCCTGTGGAGGCTGGTCCGGGAGCTCTGCTCCGTCAAGCACTGCGATTTCTGGTTGGAAAACGGAGCGGGTCTCTGGGTCACCGTGGACCGGCCCGTGATGCCCTGCCTGCTGGTTTCCATTTGGTTCATTGTGAAATAAGCCTGCGGGCAGGCGGGCAGCCGCAGCGATGAGCTAAGCGGGCGAGCCAACCACAGAGTCGTCCCAATTCTCTGCCCCGTCTCCACCCCCTGTTCTGAAGGTACCAGAGAGCAGTGATTCCTCCGCGCTTCCATAGCCTCCCCCGTGTCCACCCGGGTATCTGCTTGAATGTGATGGTTCGGGTCTCCATCCCCTGCAGGCCGTCCCGAGGGCGCGCGTTCGGCGCTGCATCATCAGCTCCCGGCGGAGTGCCTGGCACACCGTATTACACCATAGATGTTTGGTGAGCTGGTGAAAGAACGCACCAGGGACTGTGCCAAGCACTTCGCAACACTTCCCAGCAATTCTCAGAGGTAGGCGTTATTCCCAGAGCATAGAGGAAACTGAAGCTTTGAGAGGTAGGATCAGACTTCAACCCTGGCTTGTCTAACCCAGACTGCCCACTCTGGGCTCTGGGCTCTGGGCTCCTCTGGGCTCTGGGCACTCCCAGGGCTGTCCTGTGATCCCTGATGACCCTCAAGGCCACATCCAAATGTATCTCTGATGAAACGGGAGATGCCAGTTTTAGAAATATGAGAAGACCGGAGCTGATGGTCATGTAGTTTGATACCTTTCTTACATGGAGGTCTCATTTAATTCTTCTAATTATACTAAAATGTAACAAAGGGATTAAACTAAAATAGAAATAAAACTAGACACAAGCCCAGAGATTATCTTGTAAGGAAATATTGCCGAGCTGGTTCCCAGAGCAGACTAGAGCCACGGCAGGATCTGTCTGTCACATGAAGATTTTTTTTTCCCCACAAGAAGGATCAATGTTTGCTGTTCCCATCTCTGAAACAGTCCGTGTATTTAAGAAAATATTTTTTAAGTAACATACTTGCTTTCTAATACTCTCCCGACTCTGCATGGTTTTAGGGACAGGTGTAGGAGCAGCTTTAAGTATCCTTCCTTTACCCAGGGACTCCACACAATCTCTAGCAGTGTTTTTACCACCACTTTGGGGACAGGCCATCATTTTTGTGAACCACTGATCACTACGGAAAAATAATTCCTCCTAGCCAAAAAGGTTAAAAATAAACTTAAGGGAGACCTAATAAAGAATCCGTCCATGCTGTACAGCATAAGGAATATAGTCAATAATATTGCAATAACTTTTACAGGGGCCCAGTGGGCACTTGAAATATCGGGGACCACTTTGTCAAGTATATGATTGTCTAACCACTATACTATACACCTGACATTAATACAAAATAACATTGAATACAAACTGTAACTGAAAAATAAAATTAAAAATAATTAACCCATGCCATAAGCAAGAATAGACCCATCACTTCTGATCTGTTTATTAGTTAAAATATATATTATAAAATGTCATTTGTTAATTTTAGCTTAAAGTACATATTTTAAAATATGAATACAGCATAAATAAAAATGATGAATCGAAAGCTCTAAGAGGCCCTCTGGGGTGCTCTCAGAGACCCCCCGGAGTTGTTGAACCATATTTGGAGATAACAGCTGCTGAATATTATCAATTCTCCTATAAAGAGAGTCCGTAAGAGAAAAAAAAAGTGCATTATCAGACCGTTTATATGAAGTCTTTTAGGGCATGACTGTTGATAAGGGCACCTCTTGTTCTGAGCCCCCACTGTTATCTGTGTTCTTCTCAAGGATACATTTGGAAGCTTTTAACATAGAAACGGGGTGGAGGACTTGGGGGCGGGGCACCCCAGGGGAGCAGCCTGCCCCTGGGAGATGCCCACCCTGCACCGAAACAGCAGAGGCCCCCCCACCCCCCGCCAAAGAAAAGGTGGTTTTGGTTCTCACTCTGCCAGCACCTCGCTCACCACCGCTTCCAGTGCCCTCTTGAATCCTTTCACAAAGTAAAGTACTGACCACATATTTCTTACATGTCAATTCTTATTTTCTAAATAATAACAATCCCGACAGAAAGAACAATTACTTAGAAACTGATGTTGAAATTTCAGGTCCAGGGTCTGCTGAGTTTAATTACAAGGGCACACACAGCCACATAAGCAAAATGACTTCATTTCTGATCTGAAAACACTTAGTCCATATGTAGCACATTTTCTAAAATTGCTGTCATTTCTCATTTCTTTAATAGTTCCAGAACTCAGATTTAAGCAGAGCGTGAAATGAATTTGTACATGGTGATTCAGATGCACACTTTATTTATGGAGCTTTTAATCAAAACTGTATGTGCTTGAACATCCCTGCTCATGTTTATGCATTATGAGGTCAAGCCAAGGTTATGTGAGTCTGGTTCTTCATTTTAGCAAAGGACTGCCAAGTGCCTACTATGCGCAAGACACTGTGAGAAGCTTCTGAATTATTCTTGAGAGTCCTTTGAAATGTGAATAATTTCACCATTGCTTTCTTGTTCCTTCTTAGTGTTGACTTTTTTAAAAAAAAAACATTTATTGTGACATTAAAATTACAACAGAAATTTAAACAGAACATTGCTCACAATCCTAGCATCTGATTAAGTCAGTGTTTTCCTTTTTTCCTATAACCTCCTAGCCCTTACCATTTGCATATACAAATGTACATATTTGCAATAATAATAAAGGTCAGCATTTATATTCTAAATTTTCCCTCAACTTTATTTTTTTTTCATTTTTCCTAAGATTTTTTGTTCTTGCCTCCCCCTCTACTTTCCCTAACCCCCCCCCCTTCTGCCTGAGATGACGCCTGCACTTTCATTGTGCTCAGATATATGAGAGAGTTTTTTGTTTGATTAAGTCTTTAAAAATACTATAATCATACAGATCACATTTATTTCCCTGCAATTCACCTCTGTGACTTAACACTGCATCAAGCACCTCTCTCCAGTTCAACAGCTAGCTAATTAGCTAACTCGTCCTTTTACATTGCTGTGTAATATTCCACAGTACAGATGGACGCTGGTTAATTTAATCATTTCCTTGTTGATGGACCTTCAGGTTGTTTCCAGTTTTTTTACCACTGAAAACAATAAACATCTTTATATGTACAACTTTGCAATCTGTTACTTTTATTTCTGTGGAATAGATTTGTACAGGCAGAATTTCTGGAACAAAACTGAGTAATTTAAATTTTTCTCCACGTGACTAGATAATGTTCACATAGGAGGAGCAATTCCCATTGGCACCTGCAGTGTGTATGGCGTTAACTTGTAGGAGTTTCTATGTCCTTTAAGTGTGAGAAGCTGACTTTTCTACAAGCGCTGCTTAAGCATCTTCTCCCCTTTGCAGATGACACACCTAATGGTTCCCACGTGATTTCTGACAATGGACCATTTGAAAGTCCTAAAACTGTGAGCAATTCCCATTCTAAATTTGGTCCTTGGCCCTAAACATCTGGATGAGAACCCTGGAAAGCAAGCAGTGTGTGTGCAAGCTTCCTGCTCACAGAGCGGTATGTTTGCATGACTCCATACTCCCAAATGGCAAGACAAGGCATAAAGTTTGTTGTTTCTTTAATAAATCTCTAGTAAAATTACACAAGCAAGTATTTGCCAGTGAGAATGTCCTCTTAGGTCATAAAGATCTAAAGGAGCAGGCATCAAGCACACTTGGTTAAAGTACCCCCTGATGTGCCGGAAACCAATTCCAGCATGTCATAATTTTAAGAGTTTCATCAAAAGGTTGATGAGACTTGGGGACTCAACAGGGTTGAGTCACACATGTAGTCACCTGTTGGGAATGGCTAAAGGCATTTCCCCAAACCTGAATAGGAAACTGATTGTGGCTGCCAGACAGTTTTTGAGAGGGATAGAGAGTTAGAAACATTGGTGAGAGAGAAACATCGATCAGCTGCCTCCTGCACACCTCCTACTGGGGATGTGCCCGCAACCAAGGTACATGCCCTTTACCAGAATTGAACCTGGGACCCTTCAGTCCGAAGGTCGACGCTCTATCCACTGAGCCAAACCGGTCAGGGCCCCAATGCCTTTCAAAATTATATTTCATCTCCAGATTCTTTATTAGTCTCTGGGTTCCTATTTAATCTATGCACAGCCCCTTCTCCAGATTCCTGAACCCTTCTTGATGCTGGGACAAGAACCCCAGCATACTGATGCCCCTGAACAGCATCTCCCTGGAGCCCCTTGCACCCCACCTTGCTTAGGATGTGCCCGGCAACATTTAGACACCCAGCCCTCTGGTCCTAGTGAGGTGTGTCCCAGGTAGTGGCCACTAATTGTCTTGAGATGCCCACACTACCTCAAGCTTTCTGATAATAAGTGACTGACCTGGAGCAGTGGCCCATTGGGTCAGGGATCCCTGGCCCTACTTCAAACCTGCAGTTTGGTCACATCTTGAATCCCCACCCAACACGTTTTCTTCATGTGTTGTGTATGGTTGGACAGAGACGCCCTAAGATGCCCACGTGTTGCTGCATGGCACATTCCAGAGTCTGCCAGGGTATCAACTGAAATGCTGACAGCAGGGTCCATGTGCCCACATGCAGGCAGTGATAACACACTGGTGACACTACAGCTGGGCAAGTGATGGAGAAGACACACAGAAATGGCATCATGACAAGTTTCAGTTTCCCCAACTGAAAGCTCAGGCACTGCTCTGTTGAAGAGCAGACTTCTGGCAAACTCGGCTCATGCCAGCAGCTGTGTGTTTGCTCTGTCTGCCCCAAGACCGTGCCAGCAGACACAACACACGGCTTGTTTTTCTCCTTTTCTCATTGCTGGTAGAAGACCTGGTCTCAGTTGGGTACCACATTCCCTGGTGGAAGAGAAGGGAGTCAAACTCAGATGCCACTGGGAATGACGTGTACCTGCAAATCAGGAAAAAATCAGAAATTCCTTGAATCCCAGCGGGCACGGCTCAGTGGTTGAGCATCAACCTATGAATCAGGAGGTCATGGTTTGATTCCCAGTCAGGGCATAGGTTTGAGTTGTAAGCTCGATCCCCAGTGCGGGGTGTGCAGGAGGCAGCCGATCAATGATTCTCTCTCATCGTTGGTGTTTCTATCTCTCTCTCCCTCTCTTTCTGAAATAAATAAAAATATTTTTAAAAAGAAATTCCTTGAAAAGGTGGAATTAAGTACTGTTTCTGAGGCATCTTTAAGCCTACCCCAGACCATTGAAAGCCTGCTCCAGAAAAATAGACTCAGCTGTTTCCTCTGGACAGTGGAAGCGGTGGGGGAGGAAGAAATCTTTCTCTACTCTTCTAAGTTCTTCTGGCTGGTCTAATAATTAAATCCACACCAGAGATTAAGTTAACAAACAAACATTACCAACTTTAATGACATTTGTATGTACGGGAACCCCACTTACATGAGAAAGTCAGAGACCACACATACATAAGAGGTTTAGAGATAGAAAGGGACAATGAAGTAGATATGACATTCTGAGCTCAGGATGAGGTAAGGGA